AAGAACTTCCAACAGTTTGATAGCCACTCTTTTGGGCATCAAACTTACTCCAAACAGTATGGTACACAACAGCTCATACTGGAGTCAAATTCTAAAGTTGCAACTGAGATCCCTTGGGGGCATTATCACAGCTCAAAATATCTAACAGAACTAGTGGAGCCTGTAAAACAAGCATTGGAGGATTATTGATCGAGTTCAAAGATATCCGCTTAACTCATTCACAGGTTTCTGTCAATTCAGGCGGAAAGCAGAAAAATGTTTTAGACATTTGGACTACTGCACATGATAGTCTCAAAAGATTGAACATTTCTTGACAATGTAGGGGCAGCAAACTTGCAACTAGTAGGTAGAATAATATGTGCAAAGCCCCTCAAACCTATCCAGAAAGAAAAACGAAACCATGCTATAACAGATAGCCCACCAAACACCCATCAAACAAGAGTCCAATCTACGAGAAAGCAAACAGCTCTTATCTTAGCTATTCTCTTTAATCTCCAAGAGAATATTGCCTGCTGTAATAAACAATTACTTACTCTATGTTTTCAGCATTTGTTCTGGAAAGTTTTCACACTATCTGTTCAACTTAAAAGTATGTACAAAATCACATGCAACTAAAAGAATAACAGTGGTAAGACAGATAAGTTTCCCTACAACCGGCCTATGTATGTGAGGTAAAGCTGCAAAAAAATTCAGGCTGGGTAATAACATTGAGATGGCAAAACAGTTAGGTAAACATATCCTATTTGGTATTTTGATAAATCCCATCAAATAATACTTTTTGATACAAGGTCAGGCTTTGGGAACCCAAAGGCCATAACAATTTTTTAACTATTACAAGGGACGCCATTACCTATACATTCCAACCAAGGGGTTATGCAGATGATGGCTTAAATATTCACGCCTATTGTTTGGCATTTACAAAAACAATAAATAACGTTACCCTTGCCTGAGGTTCATCTTTTTTTCCTTCAACTTTAGGTTGGCAGGAAAGTGTTAGCATTTAATTAAAACTAAGAACTTTACTTTCCCTCCTCTAGTTATTCCACACGCACACGCACACGCGCACAAATGTAAAACAATCACATCAACTAATTTAGCTCAATAATTGTACGAAATTTTGTGTCAACTGTTGCACCCCAAGAGAAGTAATTCTCTTCAATAAGAGCAAATGAAAAAAAGAACAGAACACATGCTTTGCATACACACAACAGAAACCTGTCCACTAAAAATTTTAATTTGCCCTGACAAAAAATTAATTAATAACTACAAAACAAGCGCAAAGAAGTTTAAGAACTGGATGTGAAAATTGAAAGAACAAATGATCTTAGCTAGAGCTCATATGTTTGAGATGATTCAAGCTGCAAATGAAATACTAACCATGACACCCAAACTAGACAAGAAAGGGCATGCCGTTGTCAACAAGACAAAGAAGAGAAAGCTTTCACCAGCCCTTGCATGAAGGATCAAATCCAGCTGTTTGAGACATCGCAATTGAGGAAGTCCAAATAAAGAATGATCATACCTCGGTGCAGAAACAACGTCCTAGTAAGATGTTTTACATTGAACAGTTAACAACAATTATCATGAGCAGCAATAGATAAGATAAGTAAACAATGGAAAAGGCTAGTCATTTCCTAACCAGCATGGGCACATTCAAGACAAGCCTCTGCAACTGCTGACTGTATTTTGAATGCTCCGAATGCTGAAATAAAAATGATCCACAATGCGGTCCCCTCAACTGAAGCTCTGATAGGAGAGGAACATTCTGAAGTTGAAGTTTCAATACAGGTGTTATAGATGCTTCCCCGTACACAAAAGACAGGAGATTTGCAGCAGAAATTGTCAAACTTTTCAATTTTCTGCAATAGACTATACTCAAGGACTTTAAAGATGGACTAAGAACATTCAGTTTCTTCATATAATTATCAAACTTTATACAGAGATGTTCAAGATGTCGACAACTGGATAAAAGATACTCAATCATCTCATCCTTGATGTTCACATGGACCAGTCTCAAGGATGTCAACGAGGTGAGACCAATTCGATCCATGCTAGGCTTCACTTCCCTTGAAATCGACAAAAACTTGTTGAGGTCAGGAAAATCATGACATGATATGCCCAATTCAAAAACCTTTACTTCCTTTTCCATTGCAAAACGAATCCAATCACAAATACGGTTAGGACTCTCATCAGTTATTCCATGGCAGTGTACAATAAACTTATCTACAGATGGCCCCTGATGCAATTTGACAACTTGATCCACCCAGCTTAGAAAAACAGTTGGTTCTACCCAGGTACCCGGGTTTCCATTCCATTGGTTAAGAAGTTCGAGACTGCAAGAAGTAAACCGCCATAAATATCTCCACCTGCGTGAAATGATGCTGGTCCTCACTGCTTCCTTGAGATTCAAACAGGACAGAATGACAATCAGGATCTCATCCGGCAATCTATCCATCCCGTATGCCACCAAACCGTGTTTCTTCACATGAAAATCATACAACAGCAAATTCAGATGAGTAAAAATCAAAACTTTACTTGATATTCAGACTGCAACAAACAGAACGCTTCTGCCCTATTTCAAACAAAAACATGATAAGCTAATGCTAACGCCTCTACTTCAGCCCGAGTTTTTCATTCTGAGACGAGAAAGTTCCTAACTTCAATCCAGCCATCCTAAAACAATTAAGCTATCTTCAGAATGCTAACTTTGAATGCTTAACTAAGCCTTTAGTCGGAAAATTTTTTATTTTCAGTTGGATTTTTAAAAAAAAAATTTTGGTGGCCTTTTGAATAGCAAATAGAACAAATAATGACAAAAGATATATCGCATTACCAAAAAATAAAAACACAGTAAATATAAAGAGCAAATATGGAAGAAGAGATCAATGGAAGGTTGTATAAATTGCCGGTGATCGTAATCCAGATGATTCAAAAACAATCAAGAGATGGAGTGTAGGGGCTAGTTATACTCGATGACTAAAACTTCTAACAACCAAACAAAGATAACAAATCTACCCTGGATGAATACGGATTTCTCAAAATTTATCAGAAATACCCCTACCAAAGAACCAGGGGAATAGGAAAAAAACACATTCGGTGCTCAATTTATATATATTTTACATGCTTCTAACCTTTCCTCTTTTGCTAAGGAGAACAACTTTTAACAGCAGATAGATGGATAGATTCCTAACCTTTCCTCTTTTGGTGACGGTGGAAAGCTCAAGGGCATTGCATCTAGACAGAGGAGGAGGAGGAGGAGGAGAAGTCATCATGATTTGTGCGGTCTAAGGAGTCAGCTGAAGAATTTAAAACCTGAATATCGTAAAACACTAAAAAGTAATATATTAAGCGGAACTCCGGAACCAAATTGGATTGAGCTGAACTCCGGAACCAAATTGGAACTTCAACGTGCAAGAGAAATTTCGATCTGGATGATTTTCTCTGCCCATGGGCGAGGAATCATACAATCTGGGACCGTCTACTTTTTGTTTAACGGCATTTCTATGCATATAATGTTGTGGTTTGTGAGCAAAGTACAGTTATACCCTGTTGACTGGCGATAAATGTTTCTCCCATGTGGCTTGTGTATATATTAAAGGGATAATTTCACAAACCTCCCCCGAGGTTTCTGACACTTGCATTGAGACCCCTCCAGATTTTAAAAATTACACCTAACTCCCTTACTTTTCACATTTTGGTAACAATTCAGTCCAATTAGCAATCCAATATTCCTGTCATGACAGAGTTGATAATGATATTCCATGAATGCCCTCAATGGAACTATATTAGTACAAGATTGGTAGTTAATAACAAGGTAGACATGATTATCAAAGTTGAAGGGGTATAAATGTAATTTAGGAAAAGTTCTTCTATTACACCAAGCACTCTTCAGTAGGCAACGGTATAATGCACAGGAATAGGCAACGGTCTGATGCAATCTTCCAACGGCCAAAAATTTGGAAAAGATTGTGCATATAAACATCCTCAATAGCAGATTCCGTGGCCTCTTTAAGGCAAATTTTTTCATGCAAATTTGGAAAGCACATTTTATCCTCAAGAGCCAAAAGACTATGAGGAGCATTCACAGAAGGCTAAGCTGAAAACGTTTAGCAGATTCATGGCCTCTTCAAGCCAACCAACAGAATTCTGGAATTCACCAACAACTTTCAGTATTAAGAATAGATATTGCTACTGCAATTGCAAGGCCACAGTGAAGATATCAGAGAGCGAAAAGAATCCAGACAAATTATATTTCTGCTGCTCAAAATGCAGTTATTTCAAATGGTATGATGGAGGAGGAGAAGAAGAAGTTAATAGCAGAAGAAGTAACCAAAACACAAACAGGGAAAGGGATATTAGCAGAGCTAGAGTGCTTGGCATTTCAGAAAGGCAATCTGAACCTAATGTGGAACTGCAAAGACAATTTCCAGCTCAAAGTGTCTTAGGAAACGTGCTGCTCATTACTAATATGCTACTGTTAGCTATATATATTTTCATTCAAATAGTAAAATCAATCAGCTCCTGAATTCATGTAAATCTGCTGCAACAATGTAGCAGTTGTAGTATGCCTTTGGTGGTGAAAGCCAAATGAAAGTTATCCAGCTATGTCAGTTAGAATGCTACATAAACTAATGTAAAATCCATGTATGCAGTAGTTTACAGTCATTGTATGTGAAAGGGAATAGCACCAGTATGCTAATTTGATCAATAGCAACTGAACAATAGCAATAGTTACATTACACATGTTAAAATGCAACTTTTCTGGCCAACAGAACATATAACATTTTCATCAATGCAATCCAGAATTACAAAACACCATCTACCAGGATAGTTTCTAGAATAGATGGTGAGAATTGCACCACTAATAGTGTGAAAGAGTGTGAGCTCCCATTAACAAAATATTTCAGCAGTCCTAACTTCTAGTACATTTCCAAATAGCAGCACCAAATTCAAAAGAAACTAAACTAATCATTACATGCTAACTAGTCTGAATTGGCAACTCAAAACCAGTTACTGAAAGTGCTAGTACTGCTAATGCTATTAGAGTTCACATTTGGTGGTGCATTCATGTTGACAAGTGTAGCATTTTCAGCTATGTCAGAAGTCGAATGAACTGGAACCTGAGGATTGGAGTATATTCTAGTACTTTTGGTCCTACCAGTACCTCTGACTGTTGAAGTAGAAGGATTGTTTGAAGCAGGTCTTCCTCTCTATAAACATAATAGGATGAAAGTCAAGTTCAAATAAGCAAAAATTAGATCACAGAACTTGTTATTCTTTTACACAAGCTATAATATACAAGTTATTACCTTTCTGTTAGAGCCTGCCGCAGTAGTTTGACAATTATTCTGCACGTTAACACCTCCATTATGACCAGTAGGACTAGGATTGCTCCCTTGACTGGAGTGAACTATAGGTACTGCTCCTTCTGCATAATCCTGTGAAATGAAAGTACTTGTGAGTCCCTGGAAACCTTTTCACATATATAATTGTAATAGATAAGGAATGAAACATAAAACTGGCAGTAGAATACCCAAAGTACAGCTCCTGATAAGCCTGTGCTGGCCATTCCTCTGCCTGGTCTACCTCTCCTATTTGTCATCTGTGATAACAACTTCAAATGAGTAGCACATAACAAAAATCAATGTAAGATGATGCAGTTCAGTGATAAAATGAGAAACTACCAGTTCAGCTATGGTTTTGTTTGCAGTCGTTCTGTGCACAGGTTGTCCTTTGCAGGTCCTCTTATTATGATCAAAAGCTCCACAATGGCCACACTTGAGAGTGCTGCTCCTTTTTGGTTGTGAAGAGGAAGCTCTCTCATCAGCTTCCCTTCTTCGATTTACTCTTGGTCTACCAGGAGCTCTTCGCAAAGGAGGTGACAACACAGTTTTTGGGAGTAAATTAGGCATCGCAGGCCACCTTTTCACATCAGGAATAGGATGAATCATTTCAGAGTATGCCTTCAAATACATGTCCCTTGTGAACCAGGCTTCACAGTAATGTTTCAATTTTTTCCTCCTGTAAATAATTTCCAATGCCGCATGTTTACATGGAATTCCAGATATTTGAAAAGCACCACAATCACAGATTCTTTTGCTGAGATTAACTATGTAGCTTCTATCAACATCACCAATCTCGAATGTATCTTCACTAGCCATATGTATCTCACATTTTCTTGATGCTTGGCTAATCTGTGTGAGTTTCTCAGCAATCTTGGGAGTGATATTAGCAGTCAAAGTGCAACATTTTTGGTACCTCTTATGCAACTTTTTCATGAACTTTCTCCTCAAACCATCAACTAATGTCAATATAGGCTTTCCTCTAAGATCACCAACCCAATTATTAAAGGATTCAGTGAAATTATTTGTTACATGATCACACTTAAGTTCAGATGAGAAGACATGCCTACACCAGGAACTTCTTGGAATTTTGTCCAGATATCTCCAAGCAGCAATGTTAATATCTTTAATACTTGCCATTGCTTTATTATAGTCAACAACATCATAACTTTTTGCTGTCTTCCAAAAGAAACTTCTAAGTAATATTCCTGGAAACTGAGACTTGAAATTGCTACATATATGCCTACAACAATGCCTACCAGTTGCATCAGGAAATATCTCCTCATAAGCAAGATTCAGTCCCTCCTGCCTATCACTCATGAAAGTTAAAGGGATGTTGTTGTCTAATGGTCCAAAGAACTCTTGAAAGTAGTAGAAGAACCACCTCCAAGTATCCTTGTTCTCGCATTCAGTTACAGCAAATGCTGTTGTTTGCATCCAAAGCAACTGCTGTAAGAGGCACACCTCCAAATGGACCATTCAAGAAACATCCATCAAATCCCACAAAAGGTCTACAACCTTCTAGAAATCCCGGCTTTTGAGCTTTAAAGCTAATGAATATTCTCAGAAATTTAGGCTCAATTAATAGATTTGGCCTATCATAATGTATTTTATAAATACTATTGGGATTATTGTTCCTTAACAGTTCAGCATATGAGGGGAGTTTAGAATAAGATTCAGCATGTGTGCCTTCTATTTCATTAAGTGCTTTGTTCTTAGCTCTGAAAATCTGCATTTTACTTGGCTTCACACCATACTTTCTCAACTTTGCCTCTACACCTTTACTGGTCATAATAGGATGATCTCTCATGACACCAACCAGCTTCTTGGCCATCCAATCACAAGTGGCTTCAGCACAGTGTTTATCCATTACACAAGTGTGCTGTGGTTGGTAACTTTTAATCTGAAAAGTTATATTATCAGCCATTGGTGATGCATGTATTCTCCACTGACATCCCTTAGCATTGCATATAGCAGTCACTCTCGATCTCTCATTTTTCAATCTCAGAAGTGGAAAACCTTTTTGAATAACATAATCTTTTAAGACAGCTCTGAATGCATCCACATTGGTGAATAATTCACCCTTCTCAAATTCAATGTCATGTTTAGGATTGTAAATCCACATCTTTGATCTTATAACTGTTTCCTAGAATTATCCCCTTCCTCACTTTCAGAATCAGGCACCACAATTTCCATTTCATTGTCTTCAAAATCAGAAAAATTAGTATCACTTTCCTCACTATCATCATTTGAGACCCTATTAAGAACTAATTCATCCTCATTGTCACTATATGGATTGTGTCTCCATGAAGAATCAGAGTTAGAATCTCCATACTGATCATCTGAGATATCAACATCTATAGCTACAATCCTCTTATTCTGTTAACTAATAACCAGAGTATCTTGCATGTTCACAGTAGTCGGATTTACTAAGTTATTCTCTTCATTAGCAGGGATAATTTCTATATCAGAGACATGCAAGTTTATCACTAGCTTAGATTGATGTATTTTGAACATTTCACTAACAGAATAATCATCATTAACATCCATCATGCAGTTTTTTTCTAGGAATTTCACATCTCATCTGCATAATCATGTTAACATTCCCACTTATCTTGCTCAGTGCCTTTTCAGTTACATCAAACAACAAGTTAATGTATGAGTAGCCACTTGGATCAACATTTGGAATCCTGATTTTGTTTGCATTACAGTGAACAGCAATGTCATATGCAGCAGCAATAGTCCCCATCCTACATTTTCAGATTTGGATGCAAAATAGTGATTACATAAAAGTGCATGCTTCCTACCTATACATTCTTACAGAAACACATATAATTTTCAAAAACACATCAGCATACATCTCACTACATATCAACGGAAACTACTGATCAAGCAAAACAGTCAATATTTGCTAATACATTCATGCACATTTTTAATAGAAGTTAATGAAATTTCCAGAAAACATCTTCCATGCATCCATCGTGCATGAAATTTCAAGAAACATCTTTAGTTACAGTACTGCATGAAGCAACAAACATCTTTAGTTTCTTGACACATCTACTGATCAAGATTAGTACCTTAATAGATAACATGCACTTTTTTAACAAACTGATTCATTACAACAGACGAGATTATAGTACTGCATATCTGAAAATGAAAATTGGTACCTCAATTTCTGCTTCTAAGAAGCTTAACTTCCACCAAATGAAGACAGCTTCACACCAGTTCCATTGCCTTCTTCATTATCCCGTTTCTTAGCATTTAGATATAAGACATGTTATCTGAGGTTTGTATCTACAATGCAAGATACATCTGTTCAATCAGCCTCGTCACATCACTCATTATCAGAAGTTGGCGCCAAATTACATCTTCTATTGGTGCCTAGGAGTAATCATTTTTTAATCACCTTCATTAGACATTAAATTTCTGTTATTCTAGTTAAACATAATTAGAAACCTCCAAATGCATTTGTGTAGGCAGTTAATGTCAATGCAAATGTATTCTCTGAGGACAAATAGGTCATTTCAGTGCTCTGCATGTCAGATTTGGGCCTCAATAATCTGCCAGGGGAGCTAGGTGTAATTTTTAAAATCTAGAGGGGTCTCAGTGCAAGTGTCAGAAACCTCAGGGGAGGTTTGTGAAATTATCCCTATATTAAAACTAACCCTGTAGCATACATAAATCGGTACATTGCTTTAAATAGCCAACATTTTTAATTAATTAAGTACTTTTTACTAGTCAATTGCAACCAAATTGTTCATGTAATTCTCAAAAAACACATTAATTACTAATCCTTTTTCCAACCATTCTTTCATTTTCTCTGTAGGTTACTGTTTAGTGTAATCAAAACTTTCATCATACGGCATCACCAACTATAGTACTGATGTTTCGATCAAAGATGTAGTTTCTTTAGTCTTAATTGTTATACAATTGCTATTTTAGACAACTTTTTCCTATCTTAGTGTGCAAATAGTTAAACCCCTTTTTTATTAAAGAAAATATTGATTCTAAATTCACCTCTAATCATTGAATTTTTAATTTCTTGGATAGGCCCCCTTTTGGAAATCAGAATTAAAAATTCAACAAAGACACTTATATGAAAAAAAAATAAAATGTTAATATATTATGCATAAAAGATCATAAAAGTATAGCTAAGTTATACATTCTTGTACCAAATTGTGTATTTCAATGTTATAGATACTTGTTTTATGGAAAAAAAAGGTTCAAAGAACGTGGTAGTTTTTGAAACAAGTCATAGGAAGAAGAGGGAGAGGATTTATCAATTTTATTGTTTTATTGTTTTATTTCTTAGTAGTTAGCAACTGTTTTCTTTTAATTTGGGTTTCATTCTTTTTTGGATCACATTAGGAAATTTTTTATGAATAGTTGGCTATTCAAAGGGATAAATTGCTTTTTAGTCAAATTATAGCGTCTTTTTATAATTTGAATAAATCTTAAGGGAGGTAAATATAATTTTTAAAGGGCACTTTTATCATTTCATTACTTCTGCTAATTGGATTTGGACACCATCCCTCACAAGTCGCACAGGATAATTAATCCTAATGAAAAACAATTGTCAAGTTAATTGCGTTTTGTGACTTGGTTTCCCAGTTTCACTAGAACAACAACAATAGTAATGCTAAGAAGTTCAGTTGCACGGAAATTTAGGGTCCGGAATCCGGATGAGATGTATTTTGGGAGTTTGTTTAAAATTTTATTGTAATTTAATATCCAATCTTTATAAAACTTTTTTGTGTATTTGAAGGACAGTAGAAAAATTCTGCCACCCTTATTGCGCCACTCACGCGGGCTAGCACGCTGACCAACAGCCTCCCCCACCCTTTCCCCGCCACCAATCCCTTTCCTTTCTCTCCTTCTTTCCATTATTACTACCCCTTTTCACCGCTGGCCACCACCTCCACCATTACCACCTTTGCCATACTCACACAGCCACCCCCTACTTTCTCATCATCCTCCCCCAACACCCTAGACTCCTCTTACTTATTGTCCACAACCGTCAGCCCCTTCCTTTGTCCTATTTTTTTCCTTCTCTCGTTCCTCCTTTTCCCTTTCCCTTCTCCCTCATTCTCTCCCGCCTTTTCCGTGACCCCTTCCCCCATCCCTTATTGGATCTTGTCCCAATTTTGCAGGGGGGATGGGGGGTCACAAGAAAGGTAGGAAGCAAAGTTGAAGAGAGAAGGGATGAGAAAAAGATGAGGAGGAAGGAAAGGGTAACGGTAAGGAAGAATTGAGAGGAAGAGGAGAAAGGAGATGATAACAGTGATTGGTAGGAAAGTGGTGATGGTGGTAGAAGGAAGTAGTGGTGATAGAATCAAGAATGGTGTGGTCAGTGCCCAGTGGGTGTTTTATTAGTGTATTGTTTGTGTTGGAGTTTTTTAAAAAAATTTTGTGGATATTTTTAGAGGGTTCGTATAGATGAAGTTGTAAATAAAATTTGTCTTTAAAGAACACCCAAAAAATAAGTGCGCCAAACAGAGCCTAGCTAGTACACTTGACACCAGCAATAATGGGAGTAAATTGAATATTAACATGAACGCAATCGCATGCCATTGTAATTGTTTATGTCGCTTATTAAAATACCTATCTATGATATCTAATTCGAATAGAATACTGTCACTAGGGTTGTAAACAAATCGAATCATTCATAAACCGATCGCGAGCGACTCGAGTATGAGCTCAAGTCGAACTCGACTATTATCGAGCTCGAGATAAACTTGAACTCAAGTTTGAATTCGAATTTAAAAATATTAAGTTCGTTTCGATTATATATATTATTTTTATTAAAATAGTAAAATTATATATATATATATATATATATTCCTAATATTTTATTATTTATTAAGAAAAATTATTATTTTATTCATTTTAAAAAATAAAATAAATATATTTTATTTTTAAAAAATTAAAATATTTATTTTTTTTATTTTTTTAAGCTCAAACTTGATTTTGAACTCGTCGAGGTCGAGCTCGAGTTCGAGTCGAGTCTCATAAAATTAAGTTGAGACTTAGTTCGATTAAATCAAAATTCAATTCGACTCGACTTGTTTGCATCCTTAGTTGTCACTTTGTCGAACCTCATGGTGGAACAAAATAATTACCAAATTTAGAATCAGCCCAGCAGTTGCAAACTGTTGAATACATGCAAGTTCAAGTGGACCATTTGCTGGATTATCCTGGATGGATTAGAAAAGTTACTACGCTTGGAAAACCATTCATCATAAAAAGGCATTAACCATGATTTTCTACCAAAACAGGGGAAGACGAAAAGGCGTGAGCAAGATTTTCATAATGTAAAGCTAGTAGATTTAGCACTTACGCAGGAAACAACATCTTGAGACATTTGGAATAGCAAGTCTTTAGCATGCAGAAACCAAAGCTAGGAAGATTTTTTTTTTTAAAAAAAAAAAGAGAGGGAGAGAAATCTTTAACTTGAAGGCACTATTCGAACTAATTTGCAAGGACTAGAACAGATAATACTCCCTCGGGTCCTATTTATAGGCATATTTCACAATTTAATTCTTCGTAATTAGCTACTTTTGCGTTTAATGCTACAAATACTGCATTTAATTTTTTGTAATCCCAACTCAAGAAAGTTGAGACGATAAATAAGGGTAAATTTGAAAACAAAAATTCATAAATGCTTTCTTGATATAATAAAAGGACAGATAAAAAAAAGAACACCGGGTTGGAGTCATTTAACTAATTTGCAGTTAATCAAATTTGTATAGGGTTAATCACACTTTGCCCCCAAAGACTTGGAGGTAGTCTCACTTTGCGCTCTCATCCTAAAGATTATACATTTTGTTCCTGCAAGACTAGTTAAAGGTTGAGTTTGTGTCATAAAAAAAATTAATATAATGAGTAAATTGTCCATTTTGCACCTATCAATGAGCAAAAAAAAACTTCGGTTGTTTAGTCAATACCCCTTTTAGAGTCAAATAACATTTTCTCCCCTTTTCAGTTTTAATAGCACATTATGTATTGAGGTACTATAATTATTTAACCTCATAATACATTTTAATTTAAAACTCTAAAGTGGTTAAATAAAAAATATAATTCATTGTAGGAAAGATATACATTTTTTTTAAATATAATCACTGACTT